ACTTGGTTAGAGGTGTTAACTAACTTAGTCAAGGACACATCACATGAAGCAGAAGAGCTGGGATTTAAAACCTGGGACTTTCTGACGCCAAAGTCCAAGCTTTTGAGCCAGTCCCCTCAGGGGACTGGGAGCTGAGTGGAAATCCAGGCAGGGGAGCTGGGGGCTGAGTGGCAATCCAGGTGGGGGGGGTTGGCAGGGCGTCATTTCTTCGTTATAATCAGGGGAGTGTGGAAGGCATCCTCTACTATTTGGCCTGATCCTCTGCACCCTGGGTACAAACCCGGAACCTAGGATTATGACCAACCTCCTCATCCCCCATCTCTTCCTTCTTCCCTGGAAAGTGTAGACTCTACAGCTGACCCATCAGGCACCAGGCAAATCACTAGTGGTTGTGGAAACACCTCATCCAGAGATGTAGCAAAGAAACACCTGACAGTGTGTGTGTGTGTGTGTGTGTGTGTGTGTGTGTGTGTGTGTGTTGGGGGAACAGGAGCTATTCTGTTCTAAGGCTTACAGATGTGGTCCATTAATAATGAACTCTTCCACGGCTTGTAAATTTATTAGGAGAGCCTGGTGTAATTAAAATTCAGGGTTAGGGGAGGGGGAGCAGAGAGCCTTTGCTTCCATTCCTTCTTTCAGAGATCCAGGCCGAACTACCGATGGGGATAATTAGCAGAGTCCAAACAGAGAAGGAATTAATGCTCCTGAAAAAGCTGTGATGAGGAGAGACAATGCCGGGCTAATTATGGCCTCACAAGCTTTATGACTGGGCACCCGCTTTCACCATCATTAGGGGATTCAGAGATAAATCGGAGACTAATGTGGAGTGCTACAGCTAACAGAGCATTGGCATTAATTTAGCAATTATTAGTATTATTATTTCGGCAGACAGTGACTGTACCTTTCTGCCTGATCGGTCAGGGCTTGTGGCCCCTCTGAGATGTGGAGATCAAGGCTGGGGTGATTGGGGTGGGGACAGACAGAAAGCCAGAAAGATTCTTTCCCTCTACACCCCCCTTCCTGTTCACACCTGCAGGTACTGGGTGGAGAGGTCTGCCTGGGTCCACAAGGGGCAAGAAAAAGAGATCAACAATAGCGAGAAGAGAGGGATGGCCCCATGTCATAAATCTAGAGTGTCCACAGCTGGACGTCCTGTTCACCTCCACTTTCAAAGCCCCCTCAGCTTAAAATTCCTAAGTGTGGCTCAGTCCTCCAGGGCTCAGGGATGTCTTTTCCTAAGCAGGACCAGCAGGGGTGCCGGCTAGCTGGGGCAGGACTTTCTCTTACCCTGCTTTTCTTCCCACTGCAGACCGCCTTATGCAGACCCTAAGGCGGATACAGATGGCTCAGTCTTAGGCCTAATTTTTTGCAACCACATGTTATACCCCCAACTCTGTGCACACAAAGGACAGAGAACAGAACAGTTAGAGTGCATCTTTTGTGCAGAGTGTGGAGGGGATGGATCCACCATTCCGCTCCTGAAATTCCCATAGCCAGAGGTAGAGGAAAACTTCTAGAACTGTAAATCCCAGCACTCTACAACTCCTAGATACTTTTCCCTGGTTCTAGAATCTTAAAGCTCCAGACACACCCTAAGATCAGAGCATCATCTCAAGGATGTACCTGCGAGAGGATCGCACATTGCACCTTTCCCCAAAGAAGGCAAAATCTGCAGAATTTCTTCCTTCCAGCAAGGAGTGGGGGAGTAACTGATTGTTTACTTATAGAAACAGCACTTTTGTGTTTTGATGAAATGCTGTGCATTTAACCTACCATCACAAGTAGGAGAAATAGTATCTGTGCTGCAAAAGGCCAATTTAAAATTCTGAGTCACAGAGCATCTCCAGAGGCATTAGAGAAATGAACAAACATTCCATACATCTCACAGCCACACATAAGCCACAGAATAACCACCCCTGGCCGCCAGCTTGGCAGGGGCAGGGCAGTTCAGGATCTCCCAGCGGGTTCCTGAATCTCTTGGAACACCACCGAACCTCTGCTTACTACCCCAAAACCAGAACCCACCCTACCCACGCCCAACACTCTGCAATTTAGCCTATGGAGCCAACTCATTGATCGCGCGAGGCAAATGCCATGAAGGTCCACTGGCGGCAGGGGTGAAAGTGGGGGGATATGTTGAGGAAAGTAGACCCTTTGCCTTTAGAATTTTCCAAGAATATTGGGACTTGCTTTTATCTGGGACAGTGTGTGTAGAGGTGTTTCCAAGTCAGGAAAGTTGGGGAGATCTAATTGACTGAGATTTCCTACGCAACTCCTAGCACAGACCATGGCGGATGGGGGGGAGTCCCAGTAAATGAGAGCAGAGCCTGAATCTCATTTGTTGAATCTCGGGGTGTTACTAGAAACCCCACGAGCCAGACACTTAGAGTGGGAGGCCGGCAGGGGAAACGTGCAGCGGTAAAGAGAACTGGGCATGCGCTAGTCACTTGCAGTTTTCATGAAAATACAAATGAAAAGATCCGGCGTCTCTCTGACTGTGGAATCTGGACCCAGGCGGTGGCTCTGGGATGCAGGGAGGAGGCCAGGAGGTACCTGGTCTCCTGAGCCCAACAGCAACTTCCAGACCTCGGATTCACTTAAACCCCAAGAACTCAAAGCCACCCTCCACCATTTCCTTTTGCTATGATCAAGGGTCTCCTTCTGCTCCTCCATTCAGCCCCCTACCTTGTCCCCCCGGGGGCTTCCTAAGGCTTGTGACTCAGCAGCCAAAGTTAAAGTACCCCAGGGCTGACAAGTCAAGCTTGCTTTCTCAAGCAGCTTGATTGCAGGGAAAGCACGCTGATTCATCTGAGCCTGCTTGCTAGCCTTCCTCAACCTTCTCTCACCCTCAGCCCGGCCACAGGTACGCCTCATTCCCGACCGTGGGGTTTCCCTCTGGAGTCAGAACACCAGAACACCTGTATCAGAATGTCCCCCCCTCACACACACACCACACACACACCTTCCCCGGAGGGCACCGCTGCCCTCCGCAGCAGCATTTCTGCTCTGGGAGAAAGACAGGGGAGGGGGGACAGCCTCCATCCCAGGTGGAACCTGGCAGTGTGGTCTCACCTGGATTTACCCCAGTAGGGTGTGAGAGGTCAGGACCAGCACTGAGGGCCCCACTGGAAATGAACGATGGAAGGGAACTGGGTAGGCAAGCAGGAAGAGACTCCCTAACTTGGGGAGCATTGTGTATCTGGGGGGGGGATGGGGAGTTGGGTGGCACCAGAGAACCAAAATCTGATAATACTTGCCGGGCCTAATCTATTAGGAGATTCTTAAAGAGGGAGAATTACCTCTCCAACATTCGTCACCGTACCACTCTCTGAAAGTTCTTCTTTATGTCTAACCTCAGTCCCTTCTGCTGCAGTAATCAACCCATTGATCAAATCCCGCCAGGGCCAGAGAGAGCGCTCGCGGGGAGCGCAGCGCCCCCTCCGACCCACACCGGGCTGAGATGCGCCCGAGGCTGGGCACAATCCCCTCACACACACAGTCCTCCCCTGGCCCACCACCCTCCGTCTACGCCGCTCCCTCAGCCGGCCCTGTTCCTAACCTAGGACCCGCCAAGAGCTCTGACTTCTAACCTCAACTGAAAACAGGGCCCTGAAAGCTGCGGCCTCTGGAAAGCTTACCCCACCTGCACCTGCTCTGGGAACCGCCGTTCCAGCCCCCGGCTTCTGGTCCCTGGAGACGCGCGTGGAGACGAAACTCCCGCCTCTCGCGGCCCCTTCCTCCCGTTCCCGCGCTGCTGGTGCGGAACCGCAGGGGCGACCCTCCTTAGCCCTAGGCCCGGCGCCACCGGGGTCAGGGTCCGGGGCACAAGGAGGGGTGGTGTCTGCGGTCCCTGCAGGATCTCCCCACCCCCACTCCGCATCCTCTCGAGGCTTCGCACTGTCCCCCAGCCCCTCCCCCCCGGAGGGAGAACGACCTGGTGCTCCCGGCCGCCCAGGACCCTCCAGACGTCGGCATCCGGACAAAGGAGCCCGGCTGCGGCGGGCGAGCGCGGCCGCGCGGCGCTGGTGCGGCAAGTAAATACCCGGGCCGGCCGGCCGCCTGTCCTCCCGCGGCTCCCGCCGCCAGGGCGCGACACGCCATTGCCGCTGTCGCGACTACCGGGAGACGCTGCAGCCGCGCGCGCCGGGCCCGGGCCCCGCGGGGCTCGAGCGCCCGACTCACCGGCTCCGGCGAGCTCGCCTCGGCTCGGGCTCCCGCCTGGGCTCGGCGGCCGCCGGGGGGCTGCGTCCAGCGCCGGGTTCGGGCAGGAGGCGCTCGTTCGGCAAAGTGGGCGAGAGGCACCGGCTCGGTCGCGCACCGGCCCCGAGTCCGAGTGAGTCAGAGAGAGACCGAGGGAGCGAGTTATAGGGGCGAGGGTGGGGGAGGATGCCTAGACACCCTCCCCCACCCCGCCCCCCGCCCCCCAGCGGAGACGCAGAAAGCCACTCGCAGCCCGAGAGGCGTTCGGACACAAAGACCTCGTGCAGCTCGCAGACCTAAGTTTCTCCCCGAGGCCCGGGGGCTCGGACGGGTTCCCCGAGAGAACAGACGAACGGACGCGCAGACCGACAGGCGGACCTTGGGACCTCGACAACCCCAGAGCCGAGTTGCTTCCTCGGCCGGGATGTTCCTGATCTCCTACTCGCTCCACAGACCCCCTTCCCAGGCAGATCGCCTGCGGGGTGAGCGGAGACTCTAGGGAAACTGAGCCCCCCACTCCGAGGGGCACGGCGCCCAAGGAGCACGGCTTTTCGCGAGAGCCCCGAAGAGTCACACGGGAGGGGGCTCGGGGACCCTCTGCCTCCCGGGTCCCCTTCGCGTCTCTCCGCTTGCCCTGTGGGCGATGGAACAGGGCACTGGCTGAGGCTGGTTCCGAATCCGGGATCCTGAGCCGGAGTTCTCTGTCTAGGTTAAGGGGCTCCCGGGACCGGGGCTCTGGGGAGAGAGGATGGTCGGGGGCGAGAATCCAGGAAGAGAGGGGGCCTCGGGTTTCCCGTTACCTGTGTCGGCCGCGCTCGGACTCCTCTCGGGGGGCTGTAGCTCGAAGCTCCGACAAGTCTCCACGTCCAGCCCGAGAGGGGGCGGCCGGGCCCGGCACAGCGAGGCCAGGACCGCGAGCGCCGCCTGGCACCGAGGCCCTCCGGCCCCCCACACCCCGCTCATGCCCGGGACACCCCGGCTCTCCAGGCGGCCGCCTGAACCCGTGCTGCTGCTGGACTGGGGCGGGGCAAGGCGGCCCCAAGAAGACCCTCCCCACAGCGGCCCCCTGCGGCTCCGTTCAGCTTTTAATCATTTCCCCGCAGGTTCTCCGCCCCTCACGTGGTATCCCGCGGCAGCTGGCAAGTCTGGCGCCTCACGGCCGCCCCCTCTACACCCGGGGACAGGTCTGAGTCCCGGCGGGATCGAGGCAGGGGAGCCGGTTGTACAGCACCCTGGAGGGTGGAGCCTGGGATCTGACCCCACATTCGCTGCCTGGTGTGACCTTGGGCTTCTCTGAGCCTCAACTCGCCACCCTGTGAAAGGGGTATAATGATTACGAGTGCAGCACGGGCTGCCTGGGAATATAAAGACCGTGTTTGCGAACACACTGGGTAAACTGCCACATGCCACACAAGTGGCAACGAAATAGATAAACCCGTTAACAGAGGGCTGGGTGGGAGTGGCAGAACCTTGGCCCAGGGGCCTAACGGGAGAAGTTAGTCAGACTGGCCCCAAGTCCCCAGCTTTGGAGGCAGAAGACCCTAAGACTGCGGGGCTATTCGAACTGCGGAAAGACTTTCTGAGCCCCGCAATCCTGCGGTCCACGGTACCCGCACGTTGCTATGGCAACGGGAGGCAGCGGCTGTCTCTCTCCATGGCAACGGGAGGGGAAAGTTTCTGGCAAATAGGAATGGTGGGCATTTCAAGAGAGCGCTCTGTTCCCGCCAGACCCACCTCCCCGCAGCGGTGGAACACCACTGGAGATCATGTATCTTACTATGAAGCATACCAGGGGCCAGAAAGACCGAAAACTAAACGGCAGGGGTGAGGCTAGACTTCAGGCAGACTTCCCCTCCAGGAACTACGGCGTGAGGTCCAGGAGCAGGTTGGCCGAGGGGCTCCGATGCACCGCACTCAGCCGTGGAGATCTACGGGCCGCCACCTGTCACGAAAATCTTGCGTCCTCGGCGTGTCGGCGGATGGGCCCCTTCCTGTGTGCGGCTCCCCCGAAGCTCTAGCTTCCCCGGAGCTGGGAAGGAAACTTTAGCTGGAGCCTCCGGAAGCCGCGGGGCTGGTGTGTGCCTGGTGGCGGGTGGGGGAGGAGGGTCTTTCCTCCTAATTAACACGCTAATTGGAAGTGGCTAGGGCGGTGACTCACGTTCCGGAGGGAGGGGATTCGGAGCCCCAGCTCCTGGCGGTCTCCATCTGCGCCATCTGCGCCAGCCGCGCTAGCGGGCACTTGGACTTGAGAGCCCTCGGCAGCTGCTGGGCGCCAAGCCGAGGCCTGCGAGGACCTAGGCCGGACCAGGCGGGTTTTGCTTTGGGGACGCGCTCCTTGGCTCTGTCCACGGTGCTGAAGGCCCAGTTGCCGCAATCCTAGCGTGGGCACCGGGTTAGGGAAGAGGGGCGGGGCAATTGCGGCGAGTTCAGACCTTCCACCCTGATCTCTGGAGCCTACGATAGGAGAGGGGTAGAAACTGAGCTATGCAACCCCAGAGACACTATGCAATCTAGGCCACCTTCCTGAAGGAGGTGCTCGGTTGCCGTTCCAAGAACCGGTCAGGCTGTGGAGTCCCCCGTTCGCTTCCCAGTGCTTCTAGAACCCACCTGAGGAGCCCAGAAGCCCTGTCACTTCCCGCTCCACCACCCAACGCAGAGCTCAGTGCCTGCGAGGCCCCTTGTTACATGCTCATTAGCAGTTTCCGAGGCAGCAGGTTTGTGTTTATGTAAAATACAAATGGAGAAGAGCTGCTCTCTGCCCATGTTTATGGCAACTCTGTCACTCCGCGGCGATTTCTCCCTCCCCCTCCTGAGTTCCTGGGGAAATTCGCAGAACAAAGCGCCTTGTTTTGCCTTTGCAGAGAATAAAAAAGCACAGGACCTTCCAAGGGCCCAGACCTGTGATGCAGGGAAATCAATATTTTGCTTTACAACGAGTGGGGGAATTTACATCTAAACTGAAGGCAAAGGAGCCTGTTTGGAGCAGAGCAGGTGGCAGGAGCCGAGAATTAACAGATAATTTCTCATTGTTCCCGGATTCAGCCTCCACACTAGGCAAATGGTTCTGCATAGTCTCTGGTGCCCCAGCAGCAGCTCTGGACCTGGCATTTCTCAACAGAGCAGGGAGGAGTTACTGCTCTGACAGGGCTGGGGGAGGGTCTGGGGCTCCCGGGTCAGTCACTGTTGAATTGGGAGTGCGTGAATCAGTGTGTATAAAAGAGACAGAAATGAGACAGAGAGAAACAGAGGCACAGATAGTGACACAAGAGAGATAGAGGCAGAGGTTGAGACATATAGAAACAAATACAGGAGATACAGGGAGAGATACAGAGAACAGAGAAAGAGGGACAGAGGGACTGATACACTTACAAAGACATACTCATTCAGAAAGGGAGATAAGAGAAACATTTTTTTCTTATATTAAGAAAAACGCCCACCTTAGTTGTCTTCTTCATGTACTCTCTACCCCCCAGTTAATGCTGATACCTGCGATCACATAACCAGCCACAAACCAACCAAACAAACAAAAAAAACCCATGTAGAGATGGGAACTTTTCCTCTCTAAAACCCCTTTCCCTGACAAGCCCACTCCTATGTGATAAGACCAAATTCAGACTTGCAGGGTCCCACTCAGAAGTGAAGAGGGAAGGAGGTAGAAAGAAGTAGAATTGTTGCCCCTCAGTTCTGTCTTTCAGAGAAGGACCACCTGAGTTTTGACTTAGGGGTGGGGCAGAGAGAAGGAGGAGCAGAGACGGCATGGCCTAGTGGTAAACAAGGGCACTGGGTTGGGCAGCGGGAGGCTGGGCTCCGGAACTGGTGCACTAAACCAGCCACGGGGCAGTCACGTCCCTTCTCAGGGTGTCAGTTTCATTATTTGTAAGATGATGAAGCTAGCTGAGCTCCCTGAGGCCCCGTCCAGCAACAACATTCTAGGATCTAGGCAGGGAAAGGAGGAGGCTGAGTGGGGAAAGGAAAGAGGGCAGAAGAGCAGTTTTTCTTGCTCTAAAGAAGTCCAGACTCACCTTGGGCTTGCCCTCCCCCAGTGCTCTCATCTCATCTGCAACTGTGGCTGAAGCATTCTGAGTCTGCCTCACACACACACACACACACCCCCGCCGCCCTCCCCCCCCAACCCCGCAACCAGCCGCCCCAGACCAGCCTGCTCAGAAGCAGGGAGGGGGATTGGAGGAGGGGTGGGAAGCAGAATGGGAGGAGGTTTGAGGCAGAAACTAGCAGCTTTTCACTCGTGTGCCCTCCTTTCTTCAGAAATAGCCAAAGTTTTCATGCCCCGCCCCCACCCCAAGTCTCTCAGGCAGTGGCATGACTGACCTTGGACAGGTCCCCCCACTCTGCTCTGAGCAGCGGAAGTCTGTTGAGTTATGCTACAAATAAAATAAATTGAAACAAAATAATAATTGCTAAAAAAAATTAAATCTCGGTAGGAAATTGCTAATGCCGTAGGCGAGAAGAATGGGTTCCTTTGACATGAGCCGATGTGTCACATTGTCTTTCCATCTCAATGCAATTTCTAAATAGGGAGCCCTTTCCCCATTCCCTCCTCCTCTCCAAGCCCCCAGCAGAGATGTAAAGGGAGCAGTCTGACGTTCGTAGCCCATTGTCTGACGTACAGAGAGAGACAGAGAGAAATAGATACAAGTGTGCTCGCTGCTTTGTCAAGTGGCTTGGAGCCAAGAGGGCTCTGACCCAACCGTGAGGGGCCCATCTCCTCTTCCCACCTCCCCCGCCTCCTGCCTAGTGAAGCATGTGGACACTCTGTGCAAGGGTTCTACATTTACTCTAAGAAAACAGATAATCAGTTGAATGTTCACCATTCTACTGCAGGTGGAGGATGAAGTTGATGCCCTGTATCGGGGACTGGGAATACTTCACACCACTATTTAAAACAAACACTGCTACGGAATCCCTATGGGATTTCTGACAGAACAGCTTTATCAGTATTTCCAGCAAATGTCACCCCCTTGTCCCCCTCCCTCACACCAACATAGCCAATTCTACCCAAAGCTGGGTGCCTTCTGCTGCAAACCGTGCCATCCCAAGCCATCAGAAGAATTTCCTGGAATTTCTGAAAAAGATGCAGAAGACATTGCAAAGCCCTGCACGTATGCCCAGGTATTTTTGAGAGTCCAACCTTACTGTTCCAAGAAAGGTCTGTGACAATTCAAACCTCCGGAGCCAAGCAGGGGTATGTTTGCTTCTTTCTTAATCCTTCCCCATCTGTGTTCCATGCTCTCTGCTCAAGCGTAATGTTCCTGATCAGACTTGGGAAGGCTGGACAGGGCTAGTTGCATTCAGCGGGCTGGGCCTAGGGAAGCAGAGGCAAGTTCAAGGTTGGAAGGCAACATCATCCCGGAGAGTTTTAGAGCTGTACCTGAGTAGCCATGGTGTGCCTAAGGCTCTCCTGTATTACTGGAGGCCTCAGAATGATTGGGAGAGAAGAGCCAGAAGGGAAGCCAAGTGTGCTCCTCTTCACATTGACCTTGTGTAGAAGAAAGAGCACAGGTTTCGGAGTCAGAGAGACCCGTGTTCAAATCCTGGCTCTGTCACTTATCAACTGTCACACTTTAGGTGCTGTACTTTAGCAATCTGAACCTCAACTTCCTCATCTGTAAAATGGGACATCTATGGCCTGCTTTATACTGTACAAGGGCTATATGAGTTAAATTAAACACCTAATATCCTGTAACTTATTCATGGCAGGTGTTAAAACTGTCTGTCTCTCAGTTCATAGAGGGACATCCATGAGGCACCCTGTCCAGTGGTTGACCCACATTCTTCACGTGAGCAAGCCCCTGAACCCTGCCAAGAAGGCATTGATCTCATTTAGTCTCATAACAACCAGAATGGGTGGATGTTCAAAGTCCATTTGGCAAATGGGGAAATTAAGTGACTGGTCCCTGGTCACACACCCTAGGAGGTAGCAGAGAGATAGAATCTAGAATTTT